TTGCAACCAGGCACATTTTGCACTTCAACAAACTGGACTGAAAATGATCAGCATGTCCAAGGCCTCAGTAACTACTCAGGGTCAAGCCCTTAGAGTCTTTGACTCTTATTTTGATGTCTTTATCAGATGTGTGCACTGGAGACTTGGTTGTACTATATTTCTACATGCATTATGTTGCCGCTAAGAGGACAGCTGCTGTCATCCACGGTATGCTTCTGTCGCTGCATACCGAGGAGCTGTAAAGACCAAGCGTAATCTCCCCGGTGCAGGGGGGTGGTCAGATGGCTAACAGAGATATATGCAGTAGGCCTACTGATTTATAAATCCAGACTTTAAACAATGTGTCTCTGGCTGATCAAAGCCAAGTTAATGTTTCACCACATCCATCTTGGTCTCCTGGATAACGACAGCATAATACTCACAGAGTATGAGCCTTCAGAGTACTAACAAACGGTTGCGTAGTCTTGAATCTAAACTAGTAGATGACTAATAAAGTAACGTCATCTGTTTTGGAACGAACCATGATTGTAAGATGAACTTTTTTGAGTCACCAGGAATAATGCCACTCTTTGATATATTGTAATACAACTTTCTAAACAGATTTTTCTGCTGTCTTAAACTGACCCATTTGGCCTTTGTGCTCGCTGCACAGAAATCTGAGTAGTTTACATGTGGAAGTGACATGGAGAATATTCCATCCATCTTGTGAGGGACCAGGGGGAGCTATTATCATACTCATAACACCAATCAAATCCATAAACAACAGACATCAATGAAGGAGCTGCTCATGTTCGAACCATCTATCTGAAACACAACGTAAAAAAAAAAAAACACCATTTCTGTCACATAATATTCCCATGGGGAAACGAAAAAACCGTACATCACTCTCTTGGGAAACTGAATAGATGATGTAGTAAATTTTGAGCAAAAAAGATGCACTTATCTTTAACCTTATTTCACCTTTTGAATACTCTGGAAAATACAGAGGCCCAGCCAAGCAGTCACATGGGCTCAGTTGGTGAAAGAAACTCAAAACCGACACCTTGTGCGTCCAAGAACATGTGATGCGAGACACACAAACACACTCTGGCAGAGGAAGACCACAGATACATCTTCACACATTACGCATGTTGAAAGCCACATAAATATGTATTTTATGCGACCTTCCAAACATGTGATAACACAGGCAAGCATGTCAGTGGTGAATGCAGCACAGAGGAGATTCACCTTGAATTATAACTTCAAAATACTTAAGACAAATGATGGAATATACAAATAAAACTTACTCTAAGAACTTAAAAACACCACCTGATGATCCCCATCCATGTTGAAATCTGCACTGGCTCTACTGCTTGAGCTCCACTGTAGGAGCTTGGCTTGTTACATAACGGGTGCAGGTGCACTGTTGACAGGATCTAATATGAACACTAGTCTCCACGTCCTCCCCTGCCTCCAGAGATCTACTCTGCCCGCATGGGGCCAGACTGTCTCCATGGTCCCTCACCTCTGATTGGGGCAACATGGATTAACGGCAGAGAAATGGTGGGGTATGAGCATCCACAGCATCACAGTAACTTGCCCATTTGCCATGAAGACATGGGCTAAAAATAAAACTTTGTCCCTGTGGGTGGAGGCATAGTGGGGATTGAGAAGGTTGCAAAGTGTCCACACTGGACATTAGTGCCATGTGCCTGGAGGGGGATATTCACCTGGCAGGTGAAGACATGGGCCTGTTATGATGCTCATGCGCACTTTGCCCTCTAATACTGTAGATACTGTAGTAAAACACTAGGTAGCAACTGCATGTGTGTGCACCTTCACAACACAAACACACTCTTTAAAACACACAGCTAAGAAGTCATAAATCTACCAATTCCAAATTTGACCTAAGCTCAATTACAGGTCCAGGTTTATTATTAGAACAAAGGCGCTCAAATTAACTTTGCATTTAATTTCTTTGGCAGTGCAACTGATTAGTTTGAGTGCCAAGAAAAAAAAAAAACCTTCTTCATTTACAATTTACAACCATTCTCTACCTTTCAAATGAAAACTGTTCGATAGAAAACTTTGCAAGTAGCCTACAGTCCAAATGAGAAGGAGGGAAAATCAAAACCATTACATAAAATAGCCAAACCTTGACCCTCTTATCTTAAAATCAGAAAGATGCGAAGTTAGTGCATTTCATCCATAGAAAGGAAAGCATAAGAATAAAACTCACGACTAGTGGAGTCATGAAATAGCACCACAATGTGAAGAAACGTCCGAACTTGCAAGCAAAACTCTTCAACCTGCAGCCTGACACGAAACTTTTCTATTCCCGAGGTTCATGCAGTAGTCATCTTTCTCCCCAACCTACTCATGGAAGACAACAGAAGGCAGGTGGCGGGTTACCTTGCACGGCAAAAGCAAATATTCCCACAGAATCCAAGAAACTTTATAAAAAAAAATAAATAAATCAAGTCTTCCGTCAAGCCTTACACTGAGGACGTAATTCTCCCCTTCTGGCAGCCAGCGCGGGGCTGCAGGACAGCTGTTGCTGACGCAGTGTGGTGTCCTGCAGTGAAACCGGAGGAGTCGCTCCAGGTAGGATCAGATCAGACCTTTGACACTTTGGCAACGGAGCCGCTTCCTCGTTCCCACACAGCTGGTCGCTCCTGGTCGTTTACAACTTTTCTCGTCGCAAAGTAAAAGCCGCTGTCTGCAGCAGCGCAGATGAAACTGACGGTCCCGCTGCATGATCCCTGCAGCACAGATTCAGCTCACCTCAGACTGTTTTATTCATTTGATCCGGCTGTAGTTTTCCACATATTAGGCTACAAAAGTTAGGAATTGTGTTATTGTTATGAAGATTTTCTCCAGTTTTCTCCATTCTCCAGTTGTCACTTCATTTATTTATTTATTATTATTATTATTATAAAGTATTAAACCTTCCTGACTCATACACAGACTGATAGAAATGTAAGTATGTGTTCATATATTCAGTTCTTGTTTGTTGTGCTTGTACATGTGTGCAGTTGAAAAATCAATGTAGGCCCCTATACCTATTGTATAGCATGGTATATAACCTTTTGTGAATGTGCAGTGCAAGAGGTCCCACACAAAGTGCACACACACTGATGACGCAGCTGCAGCTGATGAGCTGGTTTTAACATCCTTGACAATTGTGCATTGAGGATGTCTTCATAGTTGTCAGCTGATGAATGTGGATGTTTGTTCTTTCTTTCTTTCTGTTTCAGAAAACTGGATAAACATGAGGTGAAAATATATGGACGGATGACAGTCTTCCTGTCTCTGTCAGGACTTTAAAAATATGACAAGTTCCTTTTTTGTTGGATGATTTTTGATAACTATGTTTATATGCACAGTTGTTTGAATAAATAAAATCCCAACTATAATTATAACAAAGATCTTTACACAAATAATTAGAAAAGAAACTTGTCATAAAAGCCCAATACTAGGAACTAAGATGTACTGTATGAGAATTGTTTACAGTACCCCTCAAGAGAAGTTTTTTGGTGCTGCAACCACAGGAGGGCAGCATGACATTTAATGTCACTGGAAGTTCTTTTATTCAGGCCTGTTCTGTGCTTTGGTACCACAAAGCAAAACTACAGGCCTTCAAAAATTTGTGTAAACAATATTAGAATGAAAACACTCAAAAGACCCTCTAAGAAAGAATAAACAGACTGAGACTGACAGCTGTTCTTAAACTTGTTCACTGGGCCCATATGTGGATCTGTATTTGCTTACGGACCAATATGTGATGCCTTTGCTTACAGATGAGAGAAAGAATGATGGTGGAGTGTAGCTGTGAAAGGTCACATTAGGCCCGTACATAATTCACCAGAAAAAGGAATCTGATCTTTGATTCAATTTTTCTTAAATAACCTCTACATAATGCAGTCAGAGGGACAGAACTGCATCAGTGCACTTCATACAGTCTGATTGGGTGAGTCCTCCTGTCAATGTGAAGGCTATATTTGGCTGAAAGGTGTGTAGTATGATTATACAAGGAAAATGATATCTGTGATTACAAATGTTAACTGGGTGTCATCTGTTTCTTGGAAATGGAGCCTGCAGCAATTTTCCCCACCTTCTCCTCTCACATGTGAGCAAACTGTCCCAGTTTCAGGACACGGGGGCACATGAAATTATACCAAATATTAGAGAAATGTTGCCCAGGTTTTCTCACTATCAATGATATAAAAGAGGTATAAATAGAAAGTGTTCCATTACTCACACAACTTTGAATCTGGGTTTTAAAGCTATCATAGCATTGAAACCACCCATGTGAAATTAGTCACTAACAATCAGCTTAACTCTGCTGCCTATTTATATTAGTCTTACTGGATTTGAACGTCTTTAGATACAGTGGATGCATGCTTGAAAAATTGCTGGGTCCTTCCTGATTTTGTTATTTTTTCATATTTGTAAGGTAGAGAGTTTTTGTTTTTACTGCAAATTGTTGGCTGCATCAGTACTAATGAGTGCTATGATAATGAGTGATAATGTGTCCCATTGTACAGGGGACCTTTATTCTCAATATTTTCAGTTAACATAATTAGAAAAATTCAGTGTGTGCAATGTGCAGATAAACAGAGAAAAAGTAATAAATAAATAAAAATGAGGTAAAATAAAATAGGAGAACAGAAGAATAGTAATAAAAATAATAAATAATAAAAACTATACAAGAGTAAATGTTAGTAAGATTTGAGTTTTTTGCTTTGGGATTTAACCTTTGCTCCACCAATGAATGTCACCTAATTTGCTTTCCATACCCTGGAAATAATAATAAAAAACATGGAAATAATGTAAAAATAAAATAATTATTTCTATTTTAATTATTATTGCCTCTAAAATGCATCGAGATCAATATTATTATTGTTATTATTATTAGTAGTAGTAGTAGTAGTGGTAGTAGTAATAGTAGTAAGTAGGAACTATTTAAAAAGCATTGAGGGAAGTATTAAAGACGCGACACCGTTACCATGGAGACAGAATCGCTACATTCGGACGCTGAGTGAAAACGGTTTGTATTTTGGTTTTTACTCTTGATTGCTAAATTGGTAATTAGGTTTTTACATTTAGCTTACGATAGATATAAATCACAGTAAAAAAAAACTACTACTTATTGCACAGCCTATGTAGCTACACGCTAACGTCAAAAAGCCAATAAAACATTTGTTTTCAGGGTGAAGTTCCTGTTGACCGGCGCTTACTGACGCTGTTTTTTGTATTTGACGAGCTAAACTCAGCTCACTTTTGCAAGGTTAACTCAAGCTGTGCTTTACCTATTCACACAGAGAAAAACATGGACTCGGAGTATATAAAAAGACATCTTGGAAAATGTCTGGCAGAGGGACTGGCTGAAGTGGCCGAGCAGCGCCCTGTGGACCCCATCCTGTATCTGGCACACTGGCTTTACAAGTACAATGAAAATGTTGAATATGAGGCAGAGGTAAGCTGCTGTTTAGCTTTCTTGTCAGTGGGGGGGGGGGGGGGGGCATTATACAATACTGTGTGTACAGAGAAGCGTTTTCTCATAGACAGTATACTGTGGCTTACTTTGTAATTTTTATTCTTTATGCTCATTAATACACATGATAATGGATTTACCTCCTATAGATTTGTTGTTGGGGCCCTTACTGTCCCCCACTATACATGTCAGTGTCATTATGTTTACTAAGCACCCAGAGACCAACCATTACTCTAGAAAACTGGATTAGAAAAGCCATTGCCTATTGCCTAGGCTCTGATAAATCCAACCTGCCAGCACCAAACTACACGGTTTGAGACCAGCTGGAGAACACAGTAGAGCATTTAGCAGCTAAAGAGCCAAATATTTCCCTCAGCAGTTGGTAGAGACTAAAAAGAGAGCTTAAAGGAGAATGAATTTTGGACTTTGATTGATTATTTAAACAATTATATTCATGTTAACAAGTTTGCCATATCAACTTTATAAGGTGATGTCAGTGTTGCTGTTCACAGCTGGTTTCCACTGCCCCCAAGTGGACAAAAAATTTGTTAATGCAGGTTCAACAACATTTTGTCAATAATACTTACATACTTTCACTTAACTAGCTGTTAACTGTTAGTCCTAAAGCTACTTCTACTCATACCTCTACTGCTACTACTACTACCTATTACTACCTACTGCTACTACTCCTAGCCCTGATCTTCAGATAGGTTTTGAGAACAGTAGTAAAGGATGACACAGACTTAGACAGTCTAAGCTCCTCAGGCTGAGTACTTTAAAGCTATTAAGCCTATAGGGACTGCGGCAGTAAAAACTCAGTCACCATTTACCTTAGTTTAGATTCATTCTAACATAGCCCCACATGCCTGGAGCTCTAAGGCTACCTCAGGTTCATAAGAAATAAAAAACCAGAGCATCAAGCCTTTAAAGTTGTATAAAAGTGTAGTAAGGCCCTTTCCCTCAGACACAAGCCTTGTTGTTGTACCATGTTGGTTTTCATTTGCAGAAAAAGGCCCATTTGGCTCTCCTGGAGCAGGAGCAGGCGAAAGCCAGAGAGGAGGCATTGTACCAGGAGAAGCTGAGGGAGGAGGAGCAAAAGATCAGTGAGGCCTTGGAAGAGTCTAAAAAAGTATGTGACAAAATTCCTGTCATGTTTTCAATTTGTGTTTTTTTTTTTTTTTTCAAAAAAAGAGTGACCTGCTCCTTTTCCGTCTAAGACAAAGACGTTTTCCCAACCTGCAGGAGGTATTCATGCAACTTTTGTTCCCCTTTCTTCAAGTATTCAAAGTCTGTTCTGCCTTGTTTTTTACTGCCTGATTTTGTTCAAGTACAAAGGCAAGATCTTCTCAAGTCTACCTTAAAACAGTACTTACATGCCCATATGTACAGTGAAGGAGTTACTGCTTGCTGTAATCATGATATGAAACTTAGTGTCTCCCAGGACAATGTTTCATGTGTAGTCACACAAAAGTATGTTTAAAAACCAACTTTAGAAATTAATCACTTGATTTGTCTATCTCTGTCCAACATCTTAATTTTTGAACGGAACAAGGACTGTGGATTTTCCATCTTTTACACTGGAGTTGAAAAGATCTTTTCACAGCCAATAAGATAATAGAACACATAACTCTTTCAGTGTGGATAAGTGCACTGTAATGTACTAAGACTTGAATCTGTACCTATCATTTAATCTTCGTCACAGTTACCACATTAAATGGTAAATGAAGCAAATACCAAGAAATAAGAGGAACAGCAGATGGAGGGAGAAGAGAGGACAGTTCAGAAAAACAAAGCCATCAATGTAATGCTCTCCACTTACATGTGCTTCCATTGAAGTACAGTTTTTCTGAACACTTTACATGACATTTCGAGCAAAATCCTTCAAGAGCATCTGACCACATCAACAGATCTCTGAGAAGGAGGCTACAGGGTCTGATGCTCCCACGCCAGCCACAGCAGGAGGTGCTGAGGACAACAAACCTGTGACAGAGGAGAAACTAAACACTCCTCCTGAAAACCAGCAGGGCACAGATGAACTACAAGCTGAAGCTCAAGAAAATGACACTGAACAGGAGGTGATAAAAAGTAGATTTGAGAGCTGTGTGCTTCTGGTGGTGGTGGGGCCTCCCTGGTTGTTAGCAGTTTCCTCTTAAATTCAGTCTCTTCTGTGAGCTTTGGTTTTTATTTGTGATCTTTGCTGACGTATTTGCGGTGATGGAGCAGGGTGATACATTCATTTTGTGCAACTGTGCATGACTGGCCTTGTACAGTGTGGAAACAGCTGTCAAATGACTTGAAATGCTTTAAGGAGATGGTGTGTCTGCCAGGTGAAGGTTACAGATAATGTAACCAGTCCAGGGTCACCTGGGAGAAAACCTGTGGAGGAGGCTAGCTCTCCCCCCTCTGGAACCCTCAGCACAGAGGTCAAAGAGGAGTCTGCAGAAGTGCCTGTTAAAAAAAAGGAAGTGGAGCCACAGAGCGATCAAGCAGAAGAGAAAACAGAAGAGCCACGTGACAATCAGGTGGAGGAGAAAACAAAGGAGGAGGCAAGCATCAGTCAAGCAGAGGAGAAAGACCAAGATGAGGACAAGGTGATGGGTTAAATTACATCCGTGCCATTTGAGACCCATCATGTATAACTGTTTACCTCCATTTATATCATAACCGTTAATTAGGTGTTAAACCCAGAAACTATTTCAGTTACATATTCTTCTGTCTCACAACTGCCCTGCAGGTGGTTGATCAGGCTGACACCACTGAACCTGAGCAGACTGAACCACACTCGACACCTGACAGACACCAAGACGCTGATGATTTAAAAACAGACGAAACAGAGGAGCCACACGACAAACAAAGCCCTCGTTCCCCTGGCCCTCGAGACCCAGAGAAGGTGATGCTGCTGAAATACAGGCTATGTGTTGTTGATAGTATTGAGCACCCAGCACGAGGATGAGTTTAAAAGCAAGGAAAGACACAGACAGAGTGATTAAGAGGACTTGAAGACAGGTCAGGCCAGACGAGGGACAGGAGGCAGAAGGAGCAAGGCCTCGGGTGTTCAGGTGAAGAAAAGGCAAAGGCACAATGACAGGGTTATTTTTGACTGTTTTCCATAATAATCCAATCCACTAATTTTCTGCATCACATCATTTCACCAGAGGGTTGATGAAGACGAAACTGATAAACCTGCAGATTCCTTCCCTGTAGAGTCAGCCTCAGCACCACAGAGTGACGATCTCACACCAGAGGAGAGATTTTCTACTGAACAACAGGCGACAAAAACCGAGCAGGAGACACACAAATCAAGTTCTCCTCCTCTTCAGGACCAGGAAAAGGTTCAGTCTACTGACTCTACTGAACATTTACATAAACACATTCTCATTTGTAAAATGCAGGATATTTTTCTTTTATTCTTTGCTTATTTTTGACATATTGAGAAAGAAAAGCAGTTCAGGAGGAGGCAGCAGTGTTGTGTCCTAGCAGCTGTAGACAAGACAGCCAGAAAGCACAGGGGAGACTCTGTTGTGATGGAAATACAAGACACTGTGGCTTAATGCTTAACCAGAACTGTTCTGATCACCTCATCTCAGGAGGCAGACGGGCAACACACAAGTGAGACCACTGATAGTTCGGCTTTGGCTGAGAGTGACAAAACAGTAGAGGGGACAGTGTTGAATGAAAGACCAGAGACTTCACAAGGGGAACATGAAAGGTCTCCTTCTGACAAGGAAGACTCCAAGGAGCAGGTAGACTCTGTCGGCCAACTGGCAACAAGGGAAAATCCCAAAAGTGATTTAAGATCTGTTTCAAATGTCAAAAGGGGTATGGACTAATGTGTTCATACTTTTACAGTTTAGTTATTTTTATAATTTGTAATTAAGCACTGTGTTTCTTTTCAGGGAGAAGAAAAAGAAGACAGCCACACATGATCAAGTCAGTGTTTTTCTGGCAGCGTTTACATAGGTTTGAATAAATTTATAGCTTCAGTGTACATTTAGTTTGATGAATATATACACAAATATAAATGGAAAAAAATAAACATTTCTCACCAATTATGACGTATTTATTTGTTTTATTTCAGTATCTATGTGACTAAATTGTTAAAGACGCTCTCCAGACATGTTTTGAGAAATCAAAATATCCCCTATGTCTAAATATCTTGTCTCATACTTTTTTTCCCACAAAAAGTTCAGTTACTTAGTTAGATTCTTAAAATAGCATCTACTCCTTCTCTCTCACGGAAAAAAACTGAATATATGAATATTGAAGTCCACTATATTTCAAGACATTTAAAAATGTGTGTTTCAAGTTTCCACATCACACTTATTTAAATTAGTTTTATTGTCTTAGACTCATATTAAAGTTGAGCACAGAGAAACTTCCCACTTTTTGCAGCTTTCTAGTGTCAAACTCAATTCATCTCAAAACATCCAAGTGAATTAACAAGTAAAATTCAGTTTTTAGTGGCGGCGCACTTGGTTGGGTTCAGCCTGACTGAACTAAATTAAAGCAGGGGATGGTTGAAATTGTATAAAGAGGGTTTTAGCAGTGGTGGTGGTAATGTGACTCATTCCCTGCGATATGCACAAACAACCAACTACTCTTCTTAGTCAGCTCAGAAAACCCCAGTCTGCTTAGGAAAAGTTTTCTTGTGTAAGCTTCCAACATTATTGCTGCCATGTCTGATATTTTGTCGGAATGACATTGCAGTTTCTGCAGTGACCTTTGAACTGAAGGAGGAGTGCCAACGCTGATTTGTGTTAGATTTGTGTCAGTATCTGCAGACTTAATGACGGCGTCACTGATCAAACGCAGCTGTATTGAATCGTCACTGATCAGCGTCTCGGTCCAGATGTAGGCGGGGTTTGGGGAAACGCTGAGAGGGATTAAGATCCGCCGGAATTTAAATGCGCTTTTGTAGGTGTTGTGGTCACAGAGCTGCGGCTGAGAACGGAGAGGCCGAGATGCAGTAAATGAAAACGCACAAAGGAGACATGGCAGTGGGACAGAGAGGAGACATGGCAGTGGGACTCATAGCCAACGCTGTGGCCACTGTCGGCTGCTTCATTACTAATATAATGAATTTTTTCACTGATATGTTTCTGACTCCACCGCTGAAGGCCACGCTCAAACATCTGGAGGAAACTGAACTCAAAACTTTGAAAGGAGGTGAGTCACAACTGCGCATTTCTGTCCAACAAAAATGAATAACATTGTCTATTTAGTTCTATTGATGATGAAGAGTGTGTGTGTTGGAAAGAAGCTTTTGTTTAGTTGGAGTGAGTTCTGCTTCCAGCTTGTTGCTCCAAGCTTTTAACCTTTCGCCTCATTTCGTCCCTCAGAGATAAAAACCCTGAAAGCCAAGTCTCTGTGGGAGAAGTCTGGAGCTGTCATCATGGCAGTGCGGAGGCCTGGATGATTTTTGTGCAGAGAGGTAATATCTGAGATAAACATCACATGTCTATTAAGCCTAAGATGCTTTATGAAAAAGTTATTTGCTTCATGAAAAGGAATTTGTGACCCCCCCCCCCCCCTCTTGTGAATCACATTATAAACAAATTCCTCCTGACATAGTTGTTGTCTTGGGGAACTTTGGCAGTTGCACTTGGGTTTCTTTTTTTTTTTTTTTTTTTTTTTTTTTTTTTTAAATGAAGGTTGAACTATGTTTGGCTGCACAACATGAGCTTGTAATGAATGACTCACCACTGTGTCATTGAGGCTAAAGTTGAGAAGTTTGAAACTTTTGCCCTCCATTTGTATTTTAATATTTATAATCAGTCTGAATTTTATGTTTATTAATATCCAGAGGGGGAACTAGTTTAGTGTCATGTGCACTGACAAATAAGAGACAAGTCAGATCACAGCAGGCAGATGATATACAAAAGACGAAAGACTTGTTGTGACTCAGGAGGCTTCCAGTCACAAAAAAAAATGCACAAAGTTGATCACTTACTGTAATCAAAGACCAACCAAAGTGACGTATCAGTAACTTGATCCATAAAACGAGCAGTGTTATGAAATGTAACCTTAAAAATGTGAAACAATACATTTGAAAGTATTTCATAAATTAATTAAAAAAATAAATAAAATAAAAAAAAAAATAAAATAAAAAAATGCAACCACTATCTCAGAAAACAAACATTCGGAGGCCTGATGCTGATTTACAAGTTCATGTGTGCATTGTCTTGTTTTTTTTTTTTTGTTTGTTTTTTGTACATTGACAAATGACTAAACACTAATTTCTTCATCTGTTTTATTTCCTCTGTCTCCAGGAGGCTGCAGAGCTGTCCTCTCTGAAACCCCAGCTGGACGAGCTCGGGGTCCCTCTGTACGCTGTGGTGAAGGAAGACGTCGGCACCGAGGTCCAGAACTTCAGACCATACTTCAAGGGGGAGATCTTCTTGGATGAGAAGGTGGACTTTTTAACAGGAGCAAACACAAAATCTTCAAACCAGATTCAGCCAGTTTTTACATCATTTCTTGTCAATACACTGAAGTCATTCAGGATCTGTGAAAAATCAGTTTAGTTCTGCATGAAGAACTTAAGGGTTCTGGTCTGTGTGGTTGCATTGCAGAGGCGTTTTTATGGACCCCGTGAGAGGAAGATGGGTCTCCTGGCATTCCTTCGCGTTGGGGTGTGGATGAATGGCCTGAGGGCCTTTAAGAATGGCTTCATAGGAAACGTTATGGGGGAGGGCTTTGTCCTCGGTGGGGTCTTCGTTATTGGACGAGGACAGCAGGTAAACTTTCTACTGTCAAGTTATCATCAGTAAATTGCATGAAGATTACAATTACATGTCCAAGAGGAATACAACAAGTACGTTTGGAAGTGTAATGTATAATTTTTATTAGGGAAAACCCCCCTCATTGTTTGTTCTTCTGCAGGGAATACTTCTGGAGCACAGAGAGATTGAGTTTGGGGATAAAGTCAACATTGAAGATGTCATCCAAGCTGTCAGAAGAATGCCACAGGAGCTTCTGGCTTTAGAGAAGAAATAATAATCTGTATTACTCACAATACACAAAAAAAAAAAAAAAAATATCCTCTCTAAATCACTGACAGTCCAACATCTTCCGCAGCACAAAGTTTAGAACTACATAAGTGACACCCAGTTGAACAAATGATCATGTAAACATTGAAAAATGTTTTTTAATTGCTGAGTAGAGAGGGTTTGTGAGAAACTGATATTCATAAATTGCACATCAGGCTTGTGGGTTTGTTGGTGGTCTGGTCTCGGGGAACCCAGGATGCATTTTGGGGTAGGACTTTATAAAGAGGCTCTGAGTGTGTTTAATGACGGTCTGTCTTTAAAGTCGACAGAGGAAGCAGACCTGATATCTAACGCTCAAGTTCCTTTTATAACTGTGATACCGTTGTGTTATCTTTGGAGACATAAGACTGATGTATGACTAATAAAACAATGCCTTTGTGTTCAACTGTTTATTTTTTTTATTATTCACGTTGTGGAAGAAGCTGCTCAAATGTTGGACTTCCTCAGAAAGAATCTACCCTGGGTGGAGGGAGGGGCCGTTCTCTGTGCCCACGACACTATGTAGGGGCTTCTCACATCTAGTGGTATGAGAACTCCCACACCCATACAGAGCCATGTTGTTTTTTTTTTTTGTGTGACTTCAAACTGCAGTGAGGATCAGATGTGCAGTTTAGACACCACTGTGGCGCTTTGTGTTCAGCATGAATAAACTACAGCTCTTACTGGATACTTGTTGATACACTTGAAGCAGGTTGGTAGTCTTTTTGCCATGTTTTAAAATGTTCATAGTAAATTGTTTTTCCTTTGGTACTTAGTCAAAAACATAAGCTGCTAGACCCTGAGTTTTTTTGTAATGTGTGGGGGGAAAAAAACAAAGCAACTAACAGTCTATGTTTCAAGGAGGTTTAAAAACTAGTGTTCATTAATGTTCATGCAGTATCCAATGTTTGAAATACAGTTTGCTACACATGTTTATATCTGCATTAAAGATGGGGGGGGGGGTAATGTTTGTCAGATGAAGGGCGTTGTCCTTCAAATACTGTATCTCAACTGAGATAACAGACATTAACTGACATGCACCACATTTTAATACTTAGAGATGCAGGAAAGTTTAAATATGAAAAACTAACCATTTCTCACAACAGTGTTTAAAGGTGAGACTATATAACTTTTGAAATAAGAGAACACATTCTCTGCTTAGAATGAAATGCTGAGCTCTAAAGCAACAAGACACATTCTCAGTTCAACACTGAAGGTTTTTGAGCTACACCCTTACTTGGTCTGGTATGACCAGTATGGTGGTATAAGGTCAACTGATATCTTTCGGCATGTTTGCCTTGAGATGTCATTGCTCTCCTAAAGCAGATCTCTTGCAATTTGAAACAGAAGAAAAGCTGCACAGGGAAACAAGGTTTTGCTGTCAGTCTTAGGTTTGCAGGGATACTATATGTGGCATTTAACTTGTATTGCAGTACAGGGTATTGTTGAAATTGGAACATGACTCCTGGAATGTCCTGTACCCTTTTTTATGAATTTAACAGTACATATAAATGTATGCAGCTGGTAAAGACTTGTGTATTTCTTTTGCTCTTTCCAGTGCTGTCCTCCGTCCTGAAGGGGGAGCTGTTTGACATGTGGTATGTGGCTCTGGCAGTTGTGGCCACACTAGTGGTTGCATTGGTCCTCGCCAACACCGACTTAATCCTAGCTAAGTCAGCCCCAGCCTCTCTGGAAGAACTGGGTGCCGCTGATCTGCAAACAACATCAGGAGGTGAACAGAAGAGAAATAAACCATAGATGCCAAAGTTCAGTGGTTTTTTTACTTTGGAAAGAGCAGCTGAGAAAACAATGTCACCACAAGGTCCACTCAGCTTTCAGTCGTACCACGTTTTCCCACTTGTCATGGAATAATAGTTATTATCTGAGCACTATAATTGATATTTCTTATAAAAACAATTTATCAGAGGTCACTTGTTTTTTTTAATGTAATTTTCATATGAATCTGCAAATTTAACCTTATAGTGATTTTAATCTGATTGCTAATTTTGCTCTCTAGCTGCTGCATGTGACATGAAGGTGTCAGTGACGTTGTTGCATTAACAGCTTGATTCTGCTGCACCCAAGTGGCCAAAAATTCAGCTGTTGCTGGTTTAAAGGACGTTTAAAGGGTGTTCATGTGAGCTTTAAAGCTGAGGTTCAAAGACGAAACAGAAATTCAAATATCAACAATTCCTGCATGAGATATGATCCAAAGCTCCAGAGAAGTGAACATTGTGGTGGTATTGTTTTCTCTTTTTGTCTTTTTTTTTTTTTTTTTACATGCAAAGTTCACATTACCTAAAGTCGACAGAGATACTGTTGTAGATAAACTGGATTATCTGTACTTGTGTTTTAATACAACACTCTGAATATATAATTAGATAGAAGATTAACCTTGGAGACTCAAGCTCTTTGGATTGAGACTTGTCTACCGTCTTCACCAACAAAGCGAAATCATATTCAGTCCGTGTGATCTGTGTGACTCTGCAGATGGGATGACAGTGAAAGGTCAGACTTTGTGGGAGAGGAGTGGAGCAGTGATTCTGGTTGTGAGGCGCCCTGGATGAGCCTTGTGCAGAGAGGTACAGTTATTGTGAGTGTGGAAGATGTAATGCACATTACTGTGTTTACAGGTCTCAAAGGTGTTTTGATAATGGATATGTTATCAGCAGTAGAGGAGCTCAAACTTAAAAGCAGGATACATCTGTGCCATATCATTTCTGTGCAACTAGTAATGCTTTTAAAATGGCAGAGGTTTTCCCCACCAACATGTTGTCACTCAACAGTGGGCAGCTTACCGTGAGGATGTCTGGCAGCCTGTGTTGTGTGTTTTTGAGTGGAGGCCAATCATGGGTGTATTATCTAATCTGATTTTCAGGAATTTTACCGACAACATGAAGAACCGCCCCTCTGTCCCTGCTGTTATCATAGATTGTAATTGTCCTTCTTGGCAATTATGTAAATCTTTTAATCTTATGTAAAAAAAAAACAGATTACACTTCATCAGAGATATAAAAAGGTTAATGGTGAAATTGATCTTTATGTAACATTCACATTTTCGACAGTGGTTCCCAGCTTTTTTGGCTTGAGACTTGTCAAAGCAAAGCAATGTCGGCTTTTGATTTTCTTGTCAGAGGTTGTGGCTTTTAGATGGACCAGAGATGGTTTCATTTAAAGGATTATTAGAGGTAAAAAAAAAAAAGCAAAACCATCAAGTATTTGACAAGAAAAAAGAAAAATTCAGCGTAAACTCAACATAATTGCACTTCTTTCTTCCCCTTTTTCCCTTCAATCATCTTGTAAACCCTCAGATTTATCATTGCAACCCCTCATCAGGCCCTGACCCTCAGGTTGGGAAACAATAAACCACCCTGACAATATCCACAAATGTCAGCAGATTGTTGGTGTCGGTTTCATCTCATTCCAGGAGGCTGCAGAGCTGTCCTCTCTGAAACCCCAGCTGGACGAGCTCGGGGTCCCTCTGTACGCTGTGGTGAAGGAAGACGTCGGCACCGAGGTCCAGAACTTCAGACCATACTTCAAGGGGGAGATCTTTGTGGATCACAAGGTACTATAGTTTGTAGCCTCAGTTTCTTATCTCTTCCTTTTATTTTCCTCCTATTTTATGTTTTTCTTGTTTTTTCTTTTCTTTCTTTAAATTTGCAGCAAGTTTTCTATGGTCCTAAACAGAGGAGAATGGGTCTGGGTCTGGGTCTTGTTCGTCTGAGGGTGTTACGAAACCTGGTCCACGTTGGGAGGAGGAAGGGCTACCAGGGCAACAGAAAGGGTGAAGGTTTGATTCTTGGTGGCTTGTTTGTCATTGGAGGAGAACAGCAGGTAATTAAAAAAAGTCAAGTCAGTAAATTTTAATTTGTGACTCATATATAGATCTTGCCCTTAAAATCACTGATGTCTCCCTTCTTACTCAGGGTATACTGCTTGAGCACAGGGAGAAGGAGTTCGGAGACAAAGCTGATCTTTCTTCCATCCTGGAGGCTGCAAGGAAAATTAATAAAAGCCAATAAATTGGAGAATATTTTGAAATACAAATTAGATTTACATCAAATTGTAGGGGCAACAGGGATTTTATTGGTGTTTATATTAAAACTTTCAATTTTACAAGTGAAATTTTGTCAGATAAGGTGAGTTTTGTTTGGTTGCTGTGCTGCTGATGTTTCTTCATGACGGTCTGTGTCTAAACCACTGGGGGAGGCAGACCTGATGCTAAAAACCAACATAAAACCACAATGTTAAAATAAAAGATTCACAATACATATGATGAATGCTTTAAATAAAGTGGATTTATTGAAGTCATCTGTCATTTATTCTCTATTCTCTCTATTTCATTTGTTTCATTGTACTGGATTTAATAGTTAATCCATTACTTATGCATAATTCCTTTCCACTTGCACTGCAAAGAAAGTTCAGACACGTTGTCGGTGGACTGGCATGTTTGTCGTCCAATCAAATACTCTCCATTAATTTCAGTCCAGCCAATCGACGCGGCCTGGGGGCGGGGCTTCGTCATGGAGAGGAATGTCCCGAACAGGTGCGTTGAGACATTTTGCTCAACATGGACACAGGTGGGATAATTAGCGGAGTCCATGTTGTTTATTTGCAGACTATAAGATGGATTTAAAGGACACAGGGACACTTTTCGCGAGGTTGTTTACTCTTTCCTTTCAGTATCTGTTGTCTGGCGGTGTTAATATACATTAAATGAGATATTATCTGCGGTGTTTTCGGTTTAGAAGCTAAAATGTGAGTATTTTGTTTATACGCTTGTTCGCTATTTTACACAGCACTTGATTGTTGCAAGTATGAGGTATCGTCGTGGAGTAAACACTGAAGCGTATGTAGCATATTTGTGTGCTAAATGAGACGCAGATAAACCTGGTTTAATGTATATTTTTATTTATAGTTTGACGCTAACGGTTAAATTTCGCGTTTTTGACGCTGCAGCTTTCGGCGTCTCTGTCCCGGCTGCTGAGGCACAGATACGGCTGGGGGGGAACCCCAAGGTGACGCCATGAGGACACACTGTTATCACGGGTTAAGTTTAGTGACATGTAACCATGGTGTCGACACCATGTGACATCCTGACTCTTAAGTGGGTCAGGTGCGAGCTAAATTAAACGATTAAATCCTGTTTCTAACCTCACCTGCAGCCACAAATGCAGTTTCTGTTGATGCAGTTGGATGTTAACATTTAAGATGCTTTTACTTATCAATGCATTGCTGTATTTTGTGTATTTGATGTGTTTGTTTATGCACAAACTGTTGCTTTGACCCTCAGGTGACAGGTGAGAGAGATGCAACATGGGCAGGAATGGACCAAAGAGTGACTCCAGGAAGAGTCAGCTGTCATGTCACAAAGCAGCCTGCAACAGTGAGTTGGATTATCCTGCCATTTCACTCTACTAGGAAGCTACTACACAACACATTAATACAAATAAACACAGCAGTTTCAGTATGCAGGGAACACAGAGGACACAGAGTTGCCTGAGGATCCCCTTCCTTCTGCTGTATGCTGTTGTAGACTCCTCCACCCGGAGCTGAGCCCCCGGTGGAGCGCGAGTGTGAAAGGGGACCCTGCCAGCCTCCATGGCTCATTCGTCAGACCTGTCCCGCAGGGAGAAGACCCCCGGGACCCAAGGGTCACACACTGCTACACGCAACCTCTTACGGAAGAAGGAGCAGCGCCGGCGTGGAATCCGATCCTCCTCACCCATGGGACGGGTCATCCTCATCAATTCTCCTGTGGATGGTGAGGAACAGCTGTGCTGGTTGTGTTGTGGATATTACAACCCACTGGTGACAAAACACTGGATTAGTGTGGTTTTAAAAGTCTGAAACAACTTCATACGCAAGTCTCAGACTGCAACAACCAATTGTTCACAAATCACAAAAATCTGAGGCAATAGGTACATACACAAAATGAGACGAGCACAACAGAAATGTAAATCGTGTTTATTATTATCGCAGTAACGCAACTTCAAATCGTCTTCAAATAATTTCCATCTTTACAGCCTTATTTTTGATTTTGGATATTTTCTGGATGTTCAATTCTAATGTCTTTTTCAGAGCATATAAACTGTAGTTTAAAATAAACATTTAAAATGATTTTTAACTGGCAAAATACATGGGAGTTTGTAGTGTTTTTTTTAAAACTCAAGCTTTGCTCTCAGGCTGCCTGCATCACTAACCCTACAACCCATATCTGTGCTGTAATCTGGATTTTGTGGAAGTTACACCCTTGCAGAAGCTTATTGTGCTTTATTTATTTATTTATTTGCTTGGAGACTTTATTCCCCTATGCACCTCTCTGCCAGGTGTACATACTATAATATATTAAATTGAGAACATGAAAGCGATGTCTTACAGGCCACAAATGTTCCCAGAAATGTGTCATTTTGATGATTAGAGGACAAAAGACCTAAAACTATTTAATTTAGCTATATCATTCAGTATATCAGGAACAAAATGTTAGTTTTGTCACTGTATCAAGTCAGTTTTATTTGTATAACGCAAAATCACAAATAGAAAATTTCCAGCAAAGGGCTACAGTCTGATATCATCTGACAGCCCTCTAAAATAAATTAGATGCTCCAAAGGTAGAGAACCACTGTTGTCAAATAAGGTGGAGAAGTCAGATTCAAACTTGACTGACGTTAATTTAACATTTAAGGAATTTCCACCAACATCATTGACCATTATTGGCTCACTGACACAGCAGCCATGTGATATTTTTAGGTGGCGATGACAGTGAGGACCTCCATACGATCACAGTGGATAAGAGTGTGGATGGAAAGCTGGGCTTCAGCGTGCGTGGAGGCTCAGAACATGGCCTCAGCATCTTTGTCAGTAAGGTGGAGGACAACAGCACAGCAGGTAAGCTGAATTACTACAATATGGAAAGAAGGAAAGGTGGTATAAAATGTGACCACTGAGCAAAACTTCAGTAACGTGTGTGTCTGATTTATTCAGTATGTGTGTGTCAATCTTCTCTTGTTTTACAGAGGAAGCAGGCCTGCTCGTGGGCGATAAACTAGTGGAGGTGAACGGCATCAGCCTGGAGAGCATCACCATGAGCAGTGCTGTGAAGGTCCTGACAGGAAACAACAGGCTGAGGATGGTGGTGCGACGTGTTGGCAAAGTCCCCGGCATCCGCTACTCCAAGGAAAAGACCACCTGGTGATTAAAGACTATTCTTTTTGGATCTTAGCTCAGTTTAAAATCATGTGGTTATGGCTGAGGTGGATAATCAGTATTGTGTCCTGTTTATTTTTCAGGGTGGACTTAATACACAGGCGTATGGTGGTGGAGGAGAGCGGACGGACACCTTCGGAGGCCAGCTCAGGCAGCGCCCTACAGAGGATTGTCCACCTTTACACCACCTCAGATGACTACTGCCTTGGCTTTAACATCCGGGGGGGAAAGGAGTTTGGTCTGGGCATCTATGTCTCCAAGTGGGTACCAGGGAAACAAAAGGGAAACTTGCTTTGAATCACAAAGGCAGGAAACATGTGAAAACTTGCACTGATGTCACAGTTTGCCTCACCTGATGATCCTTTATCAAACGTGGTCTTCTGGATCATGTTTTTGTTGTCTTTAACATTTAGCTACATTTATTGAGCTGTTTATATTCATTCCAGGGCTGAAACTAATTATTATTTTCATTCTCGATTTAATTTCTGGATTATTTTCTTGCTTAATCAATCTATTGTGTAAAATGTCCAAAAAAGGCAAATATGCATTATAATTGTTCAGTCTTGGGTCATGTCTTCTTCAGATGTCTTGTTTTGTCACCATCTGCTCAAACCCGAAGATATTCAGTTTATAATTATATATGACAAAGAAAAGCAACAAATCCTCACATTTGATTAACCAACTTAAAATGAACTCATTGTGCCCCGTGCTCCAGAGTTAACTGGCCCTCTCTCCATGTGTCCTTTGAATCATTGCTATATATTTGTTTTATTTATAAAGCCATTTTAGACAAACATCAGCTTCGTCTTCATCTTGAGTTCATCTTCAAATCATAATCCTAGATCATGAAACGCACATCTGCTGTCTGTCTGAGATTTCATGTATTCAGCTTCAGTCTTTTGAAATAGTTTCCAGAAGGAAATAAATTAAACAACTTGGTATCCCAGATTGAATTTATTGCTATTGCATATTGTTACATTTTTTTTTAGCTCATTTTAGTGTTCTTAATATTGACAGTCGTTTTGTAAGTTGCTCTGTTCTTGTCTTATTTGAGCCTCCACACATTGTAACCTGTTATTGTAGTGTTGTTTTGTTTTTGAGCCTGTATTTCGCTCCTTTCTCGTTGACTCAGACTGGATCCTGGAGGCCTGGCTGAGCAGAATGGAATTAAGATGGGGGACCAGATCATGGCTGCCAATGGAGTGAGCTTTGAGGACATCAGCCACAGTAGTGCAGTGGAGGTGCTGAAGAGCCACACGCACGTCATGTTGACCATCAAGGTGAGGATGATGATGACTGTTGATCCTGAATTCATAGCGGATGATGTGGGAGAACTCGGAGCCGCTGAAGTTGTGAAAGATGGAAAAAAAAAAATATATATATATATCATCTCAAATTAACAAAAACATGGCTATAGTCTTGGACTTCACATTAGAGCCAGTGTCTTGAAACATTAATGCATTTTTGCAGGAAAACGCATCTTTTAGATTCGCAAGGAAACAGCTTTTCAGTGGCATGTCAAGCTGAAATAGGTTGATGTGGCAGGATTAAATGTGACGAGAAATCAGAGAAATTTGTTCAGAAATACTTTGTGTTTTATCTTAAACTGACAAATGTAATTTTGTATTGAAAATGAACAAATTTCCCTCCTCCAGGACACATCCACGTGGTGTCTAAAGAAGCAGCTTTTTTGCCAGTTTTTTAAAAGATGATTGGTTAGAAATGATCATTAATATACAGTTTAATAGAAAAATAACAGAAAATCCATTGTGTACTATCCTACTCTAAATACTCTAAAGGATAAGGTGTGTGTTATAGACAATGTGTTAACATGACGTGGAAGCCTTCGTCTTATCTAACACGTCAGTAGAAGTCAAGCAGTCTCAGTTGAATGTTTGGTGTTGAATTAAGCTGAAGAGGCCGTATCACATTCCATAATGACTGTTATTAGAAACATGTCGGTTCTTTCATTACTGGCTCGATTAAATGACCTGACACGTTAACTTTCTGACCCGTTCCTTGTCTTTCATCTTTAATTCTCTCACACATGAAAAACCGAACACAAACTACATGAGAAGATGTAACGTGTGTGTGTGTGTGTGTGTGTGTGTGGCAGGGCTGACAGCTGGCATGCAGTCGTAATATTCCTTGCTCACTTTACTTGTTGGAGCTTGGGTTTCGCGCTGTGAAAAATAGCCAGGCCGTGTGCATTATTCACCAGGCGGCTGGGATCAGGTGCTGATCAAAGCATAGAGCCTGTGTTTTGTGTAAGTTTCGTTTCGGGATCCCCTCGTTTCACCACATGGAAACTGAAACGGGTAGCAGAGTTAGAAAGCATTGCAGATATCAAAGGTTAGTAGAAAGTCAAGAAGGGAAATGTGCTTCTCTTTGAAGAGGATGAGGTGTGTGTTTTTGGGTCTGTGTGTGGTTCTAGGGTTACTCTTTATCAAATATAGCGATCCCATGAAAGTTTCAAGGTCTCTACTGTATCTCATTTGCATATCTGTGGCCATATCTTCACAGGAAGCAGGACGATACCCTGCTTATAAGGAGATGGTAGCAGAGTACAGGTGGCTCAATAAGTGTATGTATCTGTTTGTTTTTTTTCCTCCCGTGTTATCACCACTGTTTCATTATCTAGAAAGCTTGAATCCAGTTCTGTTTAGAGTTAAATGATCTCTTTTTTTCTTCCCCAGTGGCCAATGGTACTCAGAAATCTTCCTCCCAGGGCTCAGACTCCAACTCCTCAGCCTCGTCTCTGTCGTCTGGGACTCCGGTCAGCTCTCTGAGTGGCCTGTCTCAGGTCATGTTCCCCCCCAACCTGCCGTTTGGCTCAGACATGGTGGATGTCTGTATCTCCACTGAGGACCAGAGGTCAGGATGATCTTGTTATTTATTTTCTCACATTTGGGCTTATCATCTTGAAGCATCAGCAAGAAATACCAGACCTAAACAAAACCTGAGTTTAATTTAAATTGTCAAAAAAAGCAACACGTGTTCACATCCAGACTAGACTAAGCATGATCATAGTGGTTTTTATGTCCAGGTCTGAGTCTGAGCGAACTGAGACCGCCATCCAGACAGACCTGCCTCCTCAGAAGAAGGGTGCAGACACCACTCGCAGCCTGGGACCCACAACTCTGCTCAAAGACACATTGATTCGTGGAGAGGAGGCCAGGGGGAGGAAGGAGTCGCCCAAGACAGCCATGCTGCTGGCTCTCAGCATGCCGAGCCGACCAATCAGCAGGTCGCAGAGCCAAGTCACTGTGGCAGGTGAGGCAGGACATTTCATAAAAAGATTGAACGAGTGAACCTCATAAATGACCTACTGTTGCTGTCCCATCTTAGAGATCAAGCAGAAGAAAGAGAAGAAGCAGAAACGGAAGGACCCCGAGGAGAAGAGCACCCTGCAGCGCTCAAAGACCTTCGTTAACTTGCTGTTCAGGGGCGGACGCAAGAGAGACACTTCCAGGGGGCGCTCCAAGTCTCCATCCACAGACAGGGCCGGCAAAGGTAGGTGTATTTTTGTGTTAACCAGCAAAATGTCTGTGCTGAGGGGTTGCTCTACACATCATATCCACTAAGTAAGAAAACTCAGGATTTCGAGAGGCTAGAAAAACAACATTTCTCTTTACATAAAAGTATGAGGCTGGCATTTGACTGTATTTTTCTTATTCTCAACAAATCTCACAAAAAGACCAAAACCAGCTACGTATTACTGTCTCTAGTATTTCCTGACCTCCTTTCCTGTCTGTGGCTCTCAGCCCCAAACCCTTTGTCTTTTTGAAGATGTCAGTCTTAAACAGGTCAGAAATATACAGTTTCATTACAAAATGTCTCTGTAATTCCCTGTAGTTTTTAGCAAATGTTCCTCAAGCAGGAGGAAATGGTCTGCAGAGCGGTATTTATTGTCCAGTGGACATGGCATTATTTGACCTGATTCTACTGGCATCGTTCTGTTGTCTCCAGAGGGACGGCAGCACGCCGCAATGCCAAATTCAGAGATGCTTGGCGTGGTGGAGGACATGGCCCGCAGGCTGCTGACTGAGGAGGAGGTGGCTGCTGTAATGAAGACGTGTCGACGGGTAAGAAGCGTGTTCACAGCTGCAGACAGACTGACACTTTAGTGTTTAGATGTGGTAATGCAGACCATGCAGACATGTTTCACATCAGTTTAAGTAATAACCCGTGACGTAATCAACTGGATACTAAAGAGCTGATTTGACTGTTACAGTACGTAGCAGAGCGGTCAGTGGAGAACTTGATACGCCACCTGCTGGCCGTGCTGGACCGGCCTGAAAAGCTGCTGCTGCTGAGGGAAGTCAGGTAAAAGGAGCATAAACAGGGATTAATCACTATTTAGTTTGATACACCTACTGATATTAAGATTAACTATGATTCATCCATCAGCTTCATATCGTTGCTAAAGTATAAAATGTACACAGAAAGATAAATTTCCATCATGTAGATTTTCTCTCTGCCTCTGTATAATAAATGTGGATAAACAGTTTTTCACAAAACAAATATTTGATTGGCTCATGTGTAAATCCAGCCAGAGAAACAGTGGTATTACAAATACTACCCAGAAGGGGATTAAGGATTTCAGGATAATCATCTCAAATCCAACTGTTTCACAATAAGACACTGAGGACTAATTAAAATGGATTTGTAATGTAACACAACATGAAAAAATGGCTCAGCATTTGTTTATCTTGTTTTCACAGAATGCTGCTTCCACCTTCTGACCTGAGTGTATTCAATAACATGGTGACTCCCATTGAAGTCGAGGCCTACGATATCCTCAAGTACCGTTCAAGTGCGTGTGATAAATACTGAATTTGTACAAGAGCCTGAGCTGAATTTGTTGCAGCAACTTTACAGTTTTCTCAGTTGCTTTGGCAGAAATGTTAGATATAATCATAATCCCTCAAAAACATTATATACAGTTCCTGTCAAAATTGAGTGTGTAGTTGCAACTCATGTTTCCAAACATATTCACACTACAGGGGGTGTAACAAAGTTGAGGCAATGTTTATGAATATGGAACAGACAGACATCAGTTAGGGACAGCTGCAGTCCACTCAAGCAGCAGGAAAATGTCAAACGTACATGGTGGGCACAAACAATGAGACAGAGGGAGGACGGGGCCTGGTAGGGTATCACATGTAGGGCATGGCTGCACTATCATGCCAAAAGATGTTTGTGTGTTATGTATCAGTAAGTTGTGTGTTGCAAATATCAGAGAAGAACTCTAGCTGAGGTTTTTACTTTTTAAACATGAGTATAAGAACTTATCACTTAAATGTGCTTTGGCAATTAAGATACTTATTAATTAAGTACTAACTTACTAATTAAGATATAAGTTTACAACACAAATCAGATATTTATGGAACACAGTAATGCTCTGTTCAGTAGAATATTGTTCTTCACATCTTTTGCAACATCTGTAAATTTGCGTCCCTCTCATCTTTTGTATTTCAGTTCGAACACCTCCCCTTCGCTCTCCCATATCTGGTCGAGCACCCAAACGGCGCCTCATCACTCCCATCCCAGGTCGGTGCCTTTCACCTCCACTACTGTATTAGTTTCTTAGGTCTAATCTTTCCAGGAGGCTGGTTGTTTGATTTCCTCTAAGGCGGAGGTGGTTTTGATGATTAAAAATTGGTTTAATATACAATATATTTTTTCTTAGAATTGATTATTAACAATTGATGTGTTCTGCAGGAGATGCCAAAGTACGGAGTCTACTTCTGCCAAGAAAAGAAAAAAAAATACATGAAAAATTAAAACATACACGCAAGTAAAGTTAAAATTACTAAGATACTAAATCAAAAATATTTCATGTTAGTTTCTGCAGCTGACTAATTTTCAACTGCAGTCAGATACTAAGTTAAAATTTGACTTCTTATCTCATCATTTTTACCACGTCTAACTTTCCATCAATTTTTTTTTTTTTCCTGTGATTCATTGGCTTCCATACATCTATTTCTCTCACACCACAGCCTGAGTTAAATGTGCACAGAAGATAAAAAAAGATGCTGAAACATGTCTTTTCCCTGCAGATTACAGGGGAGGCTTTGAGCTCCACAGTGCTGAGGAGGTGGAGAAGGAGAGCCACCTGCTGGAGGAGCTGGAGAAGCTCGGTCTGTCCGGGTCCCAGGAGTCTAGAGAGAAGCCCCACACCTCCAGATCCTTCACCCCACTGCTGGACATACCGGTGGACGGATACAACACAGAGTCCAGACATCTGAGACCCCCCTCTGCCAATCCCATGCTCCCCAACTGGCTGCTGTCCCGCAGCAGCGACTCCCACCCTCCTCTCCGAACAGAGATCGGCACCATTCGCTCCGTGCACTTTGACGAGGTTTCACTGCACTCGACTTCAGACAGGCCAGACACAGAAAGAGGACGGTCCCCGTTGAGCAACAGCCACTCTAAGGGCAAAAAGGCAAAAAGTGGAGACAGGAGTAAAGACACGGTGTTCACGCTGCAGAGTGCAGCTCACAGGAGTCGGCCATTGCTGTCGCAGGTGTTTGGTCCGAGTCCAGATCAACAAGTCGGGAGTGAACAGATGAATGGCCACCAGGCGTCCTCTGAGAATGGACTCAAAAGCTCTGACGCTGAACAGGAGTACGAGCTGAAAACTGTCAGCATCTCCAAGACCAAACAGTCACTGGGTAAATGTGTTCGGTTTAATGTCTGGGCTGTTGGAATCATATTATAAATGGAATAATTTGTTGTAATTTAAAGGTCAGTTTACCCTTTAGAAAATATCCAGTTCAAGATCACTGCAAACTATGACCTTGCTAATAAATATATAGTTAAATTAACACCTCTCTGACGGTGTCAATCAAAACAGAACATTACCTTTTGTAAAGGTAGAATTTATGACCTATTAAAGTTGCCACAGAGTCAGTACCAGATGTAGACAGCAGGACTAATGCTAAGTTAGAAATGCGTGTTGTACACATAAAAATAAATGTGCACACATTTTGCTTCTGTGACTAGTACAACTTTCCACATGTGATACTGTAGGTTCACAAATATAGAATACATTAATGACTGCCACTCCTGTTTATGCTGCAGGCATCAGTATATCTGGTGGGATGGAGTCCAAGATTCAGCCGGTGGTGAAGATCGAGAAGATCTTTCCTGGAGGAGCCGCCTCCACCTGCGAGGTGCTCAAGGTAACAGGACAGTCACTGACCAGAGTTTTTCTGCAGGGTTCACAAAGTTAAACTTAAGACCTTTTTTATAAGGTCTTTTTAATAACACCTAAAATGCAATTTAATACCTGTTTCATGATCACACTGTCCAACGTTTGAAAATATAATAATTTATTATTATATCACATTTTTTCTCTACTTCCCATCAGTGTAAAACAATAATTCTTAATATTATAATGAATTAAATGAACACAGCCTGGATCCAGTTAAGCAGCAGAAAATGCATGGATATATAAATCATCTAAAAATAATTAATTTAAGGTCTTAAAAGTTTTAAGAATTCAGAATTGATATTTTGCAACTATCATATGAGTTTCCTAATAGCTGTAGCATGAGTTATTATGGTGCTGACTCAAATCCACTGTCACAACTGTCCAACTTTAACCTTACTCCAAGCAAGAATATATATTGATTAAACTTAACTTCTACTAAGCTTCTGAGGAAACTAAATTAAATTATTTTGTAGATGTCTGTGTGTTTGTACTTAAATGTTTTTTTATATATATTTTATTACTGTATCTGACTGGAACCTTCCCTCTGGTGTCTGCAGGCTGGATTTGAGTTAGTGTCTGTTGACGGACTCTCCCTGCAAGGAGTTACCCATCAGCATGCTGTCGACATCATCCGGAAAGCCTTCAGCAATAAGGCCAAAGACCCCATGGTGTTTGTGGTCAAAGTCCCCAAAAGCATTTAGGAGGACACTGAGATGCTCATTGTGACTTGTGATTTAACACCGAGAAGCGGAACACACCTGAAACATACTGCTGAGCTCTGAGGTCAGGTATGTGATTTTTGCCATTCATGTTAAAAGTGAGGAATAATGACCTGGATGCTGGTGACTGAATTTTTTGAGCTGAAAAACAAGTGGCCTCAGGCATTAGGTCCTGGGACTCTGGGAAGTTTAAGAAAATTAAGACCATAGATATATGAAAGGAATTGTCACTAAATCACACAAAGTAAACACAGATTTTGAAAAAATAATGCTCCTGATGCCTTAATGTCATTTTATCACAACCCAGGAGCCAATTGTCCAGAACATGGTTTTCTTTTTACATCTTATGCTGTTTTAACATCCACCAGTGTTTAAAACACACATACGTAAGTGGACCAGTAGCAAATGTCTTTGCTCCTGAAGTCTTAAATATGCAGTACGACAAACTGTAACCCGAGTGCCTTTTTAAAAGCCCTGTGGACTGCCCATGTAGAATAGTGTAACTCCATGTTGTTAAGTTGTCTTGAAATCAGACTCTTGACCTGCAGAAGGCAGACGTGAGCCGTTCAGAAACTCTTCTGCTCTGGGCAGCAGGTAATGAGGAATATTTTGAGCAGCCCTTTGTAATCACACCAGAGCACAAACCTTAAAACATGTGAACGAAATGAGTGCTGTAGAATAAATAACCCAGATTGCAATGGAGAGAATTACAAGGCAGATAAAACTGTTGAACTAAATGTACACCTGGAAAAATAAACTTAAGACTCTTATTTCTGTACTTTACAAAGACAAAATACGATATTGCATAATAAGTGTATAATTTAGTGCAACAACACAGTTGAGGGAGAAAATACTTCGACTAGGGCTTGCAGGCTTGGGAAGAAGTTGTATTGAGTTAAACAAATCTCCACAGATGGTGATTAAATTTAGTCTTTTTTTAATTAAAAACATAGTAGGTTTGTTCAAGAAATGTACAGCATGAAAATATACATTTAATGTCTTCATACAAATATTGTGGATTATAAAATTACACTGAGGAACCGGAACACAAACCCACACAAACATTAATATACAGGCAACTGTATCTGTACTGTAGGAGCAAAATATAATGTGTGACATTGCTTTGGTCTATTCACAGTGGCTATGTTTGTATTTTTCTGACATGGACAGACTAGTCTGCAAGAAGACTGTACACTTTCTGATTTGTCAGGGTTATTTACAGAGGATTATAATTCAATCAGCAGTGACAGAGGAACAGAGTGTCCCCTTGTAGTGTCGGGAAGTGAAAATACATGAAACAGATCCTCTACTTTAAAGGTTGGTGGAAAAACAGTCACGTCACGGTCTAAGTAGTTTGACTTTACACCAAAAAACCCGTCATCCAGTGCATGATTTCCCTCTTTCGGTGATGTGAGACACAAATCTCCCACACAGTAATCAATCTCCTACCACCTCTTCGACAGAGTAGTACTGAAGTATGATCTCTAATTAGCAAATACAAGAGCCAACGCGGGGGAGCTTCAGTATTCATTCTATGTATATTTCTGTTTAACTGGGAAAACAGATTGAATTTAACTAGTTTTGGCCTTATGTAAGCAGCATATTGCCGGGACTGACATTAAAACATTAGGAGTGGGTGAAATGAGGTTAGACTGTATATCATGAGACAGTATCAAGTGTCAAAGATCAGACTTTATCTTACTGTTTATATACTGTGGTCATTAACCCTTTAATATCTGTGCGTGTATGAGGCCAGTGTGGACTGTAAATTGGTAAGAAGTACAGCTTTATGTGGGTGTACAAAACGCATATCTTTTTGGAAACATAGTTCATGACTCCCTTTTATAATTTTTACTTCATGTCATGAAAAGTACATTGTCAGAGACCTCTGTACCTGATGAAGAGCAAATCTGGGCTCAAAACATTTTACCTTTCCTAATGTAATAAAATAGATATTTTAAAGGGAACAGATCACTGATTTCTGCATTAATGTAGTTTAGTAGTATTTTTCTATGTGTTTAAATTGTTTGGCCAGAAAACAAACATACCCATGACTTTACAGAAAAAGGAAACAACCCTTTTCAATAGGTCTTTATCACAGATGACATTTTTAACATGTCACAATAGGAAAAGCACAGATGTAAATAATATAACTAATGATGGCTGAATTTCATTTAGCTGCTTTGTTTTCAGGACACTCAGTAGTTTACTCTATAGTAAGGAGTAAAATGAGATTTCAGACTCTTGTAAAACTTAATTTTGTGTGATGATTAGGTGTGTTTCCATCCACCTGTTTTCAATTTGCACAGAAAACCAGAGTGGAAACACATTAAGCTAATTTTATTGGGGACATATTGTTTGTTTGTATCTGATTTCCCTCGTAATGCACTGCTACAAGTAACACAACACAACAAAAGCAGCTAATTTAGGCTGTTTATCTGGTGTGACCTCACTGTTAACACTAGAGCCAACACCTTGGAGTAATGCGTGAACACTAACAAGTCAGAATAACAGGTGTTTATTCCTGCTCTTCCCATTCTGCTGACATTGTGTGAATGCACCACAGTAAATGTAGTGCTCTGTAGACTAAATGGAGTGATTTTGGACACAGCCCTCGTATTGTACATGCTGACTCACTGTTACTCGAGTAGATCGGAGCCATCGTTAATGTTATTAGTAACACTTGTGCTTTTTATTTTCCACAATATTTACTATCTCACGATAAACAGTAGACGTTATAAAAACACTGTATACAATTATAGAAATGGATCTGTATCGCCCACCCCTTCCTACACTTAAAGAAAAGTGATGCAATCAATCTTCTGAGGAGAGTTTGAGGAAGCTTGTTTTAAAGGCGACTCAGATCGTGTGTGTGTGTGTGTGTGCGTGCAAGAGAAACGCTGACATGTGCACTGGATGTAAGGTGTTATGGTAATATCTGTTCCAGGTATGTTGTTGTATTTAATTACATTAGACTGTACAGATGTTTATGATATTTCCACCCCCCTGTATTTCTTTGGGGCAAAATGTCCAGGATATGAGAGTACAATTTGAACTTTGTTTCCCTCAAACTGGGCCTAATATTAGAGTCCAAAAACTTGTAATTTGTATCATTTATAGTTGTAAAATTAGTTTTTTGTCTTTGGTGTTTGTCCCAACTTAACAAGTCACCTTGCCAATTCTTCGGGAGGAAGTTAGACATATTTTGGAAACATCTGCCGTTTGTTGTTCTGAGAGAGGAGAGGAAAAGAAAAAAAGACACAATAACATAATTCTCTCCACATCGTCATTAACACCTCGATCTGATTCACTCACTTTCATGACACGCTGAATGTGTGGTGTATCCTATGTTCACTGTCATTTGACAACAGCGTGGGCTCCATCTAAATTAACAGAACTAATGAGAGCTGACTGCGAACACAGAGTGGGAGTGTAGTGTTAAACCCAGCAGGGGAGGTGGAGTCATAACTAACACAGGAGGAGGATGGTGAAAGGTTGGTGAAGTTACTCATACACAAACAATCTCCCACAAAAGCCTAAAACTGTGAAAGAGAGCCAGGACGCTGACGTCTAGTTAGTTAGTGCAAACACTAATGGAGACATTAACAGAGGCGGCCTACTAACGACTAATAGAGGTCATTGGCTTTTTAAGTGAGACTCTGTGGGGAATAGACCAATGAGGCAGAACTAAAGTGTGGCTGCAGATGTGTTTTTCTTTACACTTGTGATACCAGTCTGCTTGTTTGTCATCTCCGCAGACGGTTTCTACAAAGAGACCAGATCTGTGACATGTAGGTGAAAAGAAGGTTTAGCTGACAGTAGTGCAAATCAAAAGAAGGAGAGACACAAGGGTCAAATTTCTGTGGCAGCGATCTCATCAAAGTTTATCTCATTCCCGCTGCCCTCGTCGTCCTCTCTGCTCTCCAGTTCCTGACTGAGATCCTGCAGGAGCTGCTCCAGCTCTCGGTTCCTGCGATACATCTGCACATAGTTCTGCTGCAGCTGCTTCTGGTAGCGGATTACTTTGTCCTTCTCCTCCTGCCATATCCTGCGCTCCTCCTCAAAGCTTCCCGTCTGCTGCTCGGCCCGCTGACGCTCAAAGTCCAGCTCAGCCCTCATCCTGTCCATCTGCACCTTCATGTTCTGGAGGGCCTCGCTGCTGCTCTGCCGCTGGGCCTTCGCCTCATCGCTTTCATAAGCGAGCAGGTGCTCCTCTGCTTCCTGGAACACCTGACACTGTCTGTTTCCTGGGCCCTGATTGGCCAAAGCATCTCTGAGATGTGCCAGCTCTCCCTCTAGGCGTCCTACCTTTTCTCTGAGCAGCTCCACTTCGCTCTTGCGGCGCTGAAGCTCGTTCTCGCACACCTCCAGCTCCAGGGTTCGTGTGCGGGTTACGCCGTGAGCTTCTTGGAGCAGGACCTGGGTGTTTGTCAGCTCACCACGAGCCTCTCTAAGTTGACCCCGCAGTGACACAATCTCCCCCACACGCTGAGCCAACTCTCCCTGCACCTCCTTCAGCTGCTGCTTCAGCAATGAGATTTCCCCTGACTTCTGACAGACCTGAGGGCAGAGAAACGGAGCCATTCAGGTTGTACATTCAGTTCAGTAAAGCAAAAATACGTGCACAGTAGAGCTCCAACGATTAGCTGATGAATTGATTAGTTTACTAACCGAAAATGAATTGGCAAGTATTTAAATAATTGCGACATCTTTTAAGTTTTCAAGCAAAATTACCAAACATTTGACGGTTCCAGGTTCTCAAATGTAAGAAGTTGTTGCTTTTGCTTGTCTTACATTATTTTTGGATTTTGGACAAATCAAGACATTTAATGAGGCCACCGTCAAGATCAAATGATGACTCAAGAAAATGATGATAGATCAATCAATAATATAAACAATCATTAATGTGAGCCCTAGAGCATGTCCTGAACAATAATAAGGGTTGCAATTGGCAATTATTTTTATTAACCATTAATTTGCCAATTATTTTCTCTAATCGATGAATCCTAAAACCCACAGATATTCAACTACCGGAACCAGAAAATATTGACTTTTGAGAGGCTGTCACCAGTTTTTGTGTCATGTTTCCTCAAAAGTGACAAAATTTGAACAATTAATCGGGTAATTTCTTCAACTCTGAAATTAAGTATAATAATTTAATGATAATTTTAAACTTTAAACTCTTTTTCAGGATCAAACATTACTATTGAAGGTGGACATCTGTTGGGTTAAACTACGAGCACCTTGCCTCACAGATTTGATTTTCAATAAATGTAATTTCATCTCTAATAGAGATATATGAAAAGAGATTTATTGTTCTGTCTCCACTGAAACCGAAATTGCATATGTATTACATCCTGTTTGATGTCTGTTACTTCACTGATCTACAAAACCTCAACTGAGCAGTGTTTGAGTTTGACACAGTGACCAAACATGTTGGCGTGATAGCGATCATGTTTCTCTTGCCAGCGGGAGCCTGTAACAACAGCTGAATAATTAAAGAAGCTGTGAGGTGAAACTCGTATTCTCCCTGTGTGAAAAAGACAACAGCGATTATCCAGTCAGTCTCCGGGATCAAAAACACTGAGCGTCTTTAGACGAGTGGAAAATAATCTTTGTGGCACAATTTCATTATTTCAAAGAGTAGCCCGTTCTATTTCGTCTTCCTGCATACCTACTATCATAAACAAACCCGCAGTGATGTTGCCTGTCAGACTGTGGTGAGGGCCGCAGAAGATCATCATCCACAATACCTTTTTTATCAACATTATCACATCCTGCATCACGTGAACAGGAGAGATAAACTGCACAAAAAGAAATTATCATATTCAATTCTGTATCCAAGCTGCCATGGTGTGATTGATACTAGTGACACTGAGTTTAGGGAGGGGCAGGAAATGGTAAAATCAATATGGATAACACTGAGATAAACTTTAACTTTACAGACCAAACAGTTTTAAGAGAGGCCTGCAGAGAGGCTCACCTCCCACTTAGTTTCCTCCAGCCGAGGCCCCAGCTGGATCTTCTCATGCTCATAGGAGGTGCAGCGCTCCTCGAGCTGCTCCCTCTCCTTCAGGAGCTGAGCAAAGTCCTCCTGCAGCTTCTTCTTCTCCTGCTGCAGCTGATAAACCTGCAGACATTTCACCAAACAAAAATGATGAGTCCAGAACAGTAAGTAGATTTTAAATTTTGGAAAGAGAGAGCACTGATATCAGATCTGTAGTCCGGATTGGCAGATACCATGAACTGAGGCTTTGGAAGTTGTATCCGGAGAGAAAACATCGGATCAATGCATTTCTAATTTTAGCCACTGGCTAGCTATTTTTATGTTGGTTGTAATGTAATGTGGAAATGTAGAAAGAAACTAATTAACGTCAACACAGACTGGTAGAGCTAAATCAACTACACTTTGCAACCACTTGAAGATATAAAGCTAAATAATAACAATCTCATCATAACATTTGAGTAAAATAGAGAGGGATCAAAATCAAATGTTATTGTATACTATATTATAGGGAATAATTATGACATTGCATGTAGAGAAATGAAATGCCAGCCTGGTTTTCTCACACTCAATTTGAAATTTACTTTGCAAACGTAACGTATTATACACAGCACTGATGCTTCAGTTTATTCTTGATCTTGGAAACAGCAGTTGGCAACAACAACCATCACATCGTATGGTCCATTAGCAGCTGTTCAGGAGGTTTCATTCAGATCCCACGATCTTCTTTAGCAGATGACGTTTACCCAGTTGTCTTGGACTTGCAGATGTTCAGATATCTTTTTTTTTTTTTTTAAAAGTTTTTTTGAAGAACTTCCATTCAGCTGCTAATGGCCCTTTTGGGGAGATTGTTTTGCCAGTAACTGATGCTTTGTTTGCAAGACTGATTATCAGAATGTTCTGTCACTGAAAAAGAAGAGAGAATCTTAAGATCGACTATATTTCACTCACTTTCATGACAACGCTGTGATGTTGTGTATCCTATGTCACCTGTCATTTGACAACAGCTGTTGGCTCCATCTAATGTAACAGAAGTAGATGGAGTGACTGCGAACATCAGTGTGGAGTGTAATGTTAACACCAGCAGGGGAGGTGGGATCATACTAACACAGGAGGAGGATGGTGAAAGGTTGGTGAAGTTACTCATACACAAAACATCTCCCACAAAAGCCTAAAACTGTGAAAGAGAGCCAGGAGCTGAGTAGGCTAGTTAGTTAGTGCAAACACTAATAGGAGACATTAACAGAGCGCCTACTAACGACTAATAGGTATTGGGCTTTTTAAGTGAGACTCTGTGGGGAATAGACCAATGAGGCAGAACTAAAGTGTGGCTGCAGATGTGTTTTTCTTTACACTTGTGGATACCAGTCTGCTTGTTTGTCATCTCGCAGACGGTTCGTACAAAAGAGACCAGATCTGTGACATGTAGGTGAAAAGAAGGTTTAGCTGACAGTAGTGCAAATCAAAAGAAGGAGAGACACAAGGGTCAAATTTCTGTGGCATTCATCAAAGTTATATCATTCCGCGCTCCGCTCGTCGTCCTCTCTGTCTCGCCAGTTCCTGACTGAGATCCTCGCAAGGAGCTGCTCAGCTCTCGGTTCCTGCGACTATCCTGCACATAGTTTCTGCTGCAGCTGCTTCTGGTAGCCGGATTACTTTGTCCTTCTCTCTGCCATATCCGCCTCCTCCTCAAAGCTTCCCGTCTGCTGCTCGGCCCGCTGACGCTCAAGTCCAGCTCAGCCCTCATCCTGTCCATCTGCACCTTCATGTTCTGGAGGGCCTCGCTGCTGCTCTGCCGCTGCGGCCTCCCTTCGCCTCATCGGCTTTTCATAAGCGAGCAGGTTTGCTCCTCCTCTGCTTCCTGGAACACCTGACACTGTCTGTTTCCTGGGCCCGATTGGCAAAGCATCTCTGAGATGTGCAGCTCTCCCTCTAGGCGTCCTACTTTTCTCTGAGCAGCTCCACTTCGCTTTGCGGCGCTGAAGCTCGTTCTAGGGCACACTGCCAGCTCCAGGGTTCGTGTGCGGGTTAGCCCGTGAGCTTCTTGGGAGGCAGGACCTGGGTGTTTGTCAGCTCACACGGAGCCTCTCTAAGTTGACCCCCGCAGTGACACAACTCCCCACACCGCTGAGGCCAACTCTCCCTGCACTCCTTCAGCTGCTGCTTCAGCAAATGAGATTTTCCCTGACTTCTGAACAGACCTAGGGCAGAGAAACGGAGCCATTCAGGTTGTACATTCAGTTCAGTAAAGCAAAAATACGTGCACGTAGAGCTCCAAGCGATTAGCTGATGAATTGAATTAGTTTACTAACCGAAAATGAATTGCAGGTATTTAAATAATTGCGAACATCTTTTAAGTTTTCAAGCAAAAATTACCAAACATTTGACGGTTCCAGGTTCTCAAATGTAAGAAGTTGTTGCTTTTGCTTGTCTTACATTATTTTTGGATTTTGGACAAATCAAGACATTTAATGAGGCCACCGTCAAGATCAAATGATGACTCAAGAAATGATGATAGATCAATCAATAATATAAACAATCATTAATGTGAGCCTTAGAGCATGTCCTGAACAATAATAAGGGTTGCAATTGGCAATTATTTTTATTAACCATTAATTTGCCAATTATTTTCTCTAATCGATGAATCCTAAAACCCACAGATATTCAACTACCGGAACCAGAAAATATTGACTTTTGAAGAGGCTGTCACCAGTTTTGTTGTCATGTTTCCTACAAGTGACAAAATGAACAATTAATCGGTAATTTCTTCAACTCTGATTAAGTATAATAATTTAATGATAATTTTAACTTTAAACTCTTTTTTTCAGGGTCAAACATTACTATTGAAGGTGGACATCTGTTGGGTTAAACTACAGCACCTTGCCTCACAAGATTTGATTTTCAATAAATGTAATTTCATCTCTAATAGAGATATATGAAAGAGATTTATTGTTCTGTCTCCACTAGAACGCCGAAATTGCATATTGTATACATCCTGTTTGATGTCTGTTACTTATGATCTACAAAACCTCAACTGAGCGTGTTTGAGTTTGACACAGTGACCAAACATGTTGGCGTGAATGACGATCATGTTTCTCTTGCCGCGGGAGCCTGTAACAACAGCTGAATAATTAAAGAAGCTGTGAGGTGAAACTCGTATTCTCCCTGTGTGAAAAGACAACAGCGATTATCCAGTCAGTCTCCGGGATCAAAAACACTGAGCGTCTTTAGACGAGTGGAAAATAATCTTTGTGGCACAATTTCATTATTTAAAGAGTAGCCCGTTCTATTTCGTCTTCCTGCATACCTACTATCATAAACAAACCCGCAGTGATGTTGCTTGTCAGACTGTGGTGAGGGCCGCAGAAGATCATCATCCACAATACCTTTTTTATCAACATTATCACATCCTGCATCAGTGAACAGGAGAGATAAACTGCACAAAAAGAAATTATCATATCAATTCTTGTATCCAAGCTGCCATGGTGTGATTGATACTAGTGACACTGAGTTTAGGGAGGGGCAGGAAATGGTAAAATCAATATTGGTACACTGAGATAAACTTTAACTTTACAGACCAAACAGTTTTAAGAGAGGCTGCAGAGAGGCTACCCCTCCCACTTAGTTTCCTCAGCCGAGGCCCAGCTGGATCTTCTCATGCTCATAGGAGTGCAGCGCTCCTCGAGCTGCTCCCTCTCCTTCAGGAGCTGAGCAAAGTCCTCCTGCAGCTTCTTCTTCTCCTGCTGCAGTGCTGATAAACCTGCAGACATTTTCACCAAACAAAAATGATGAGTGAGTAAGTAGATTTTAAATTTTGGAAAGAGACACAGATATTCAGATCTGTAGTCGTGATTGGCAGATAAATGAACTGAGGGCTTTGGAAGTTGTATCCGGAGAAAAACATCGAGTCAATGCATTTCTAATTTTAGCCACTGGCTAGCTATTTTTATGTTGGTTGTAATGTAATGTGGAAATGTAGAAAGAAACTAATTAACGTCAACACAGACTGGTAGAGCTAAATCAACTACACTTTGCAACCACTTGAAGATATAAAGCTAAATAATAACTCTCATCATAACATTTGAGTAAAATAGAGAGGGATCAAAAATCAAATTGTTATTGTATATCTATATTATAGGGAATAATTATGACATTGCATTGTAGAGAAATGAAATGCCAGCCTGGTTTTCTCACACTCAATTTGAAATTTACTTTGCAAAACGTAACGTATTATACACAGCACTGATGCTTCAGTTTATTCTTGATCTTGGAAACAGCAGTTTGGCAACAACAACCATCACATCGTATGGTCCATTAGCAGCTGTTCAGGAGGTTTCATTCAGATCCCCGATCTTTCTTTAGCAGATGACGTTTACCACAGGTTTGTGCCGGTTGGATTTCAGACTCGCTTCAGCAGTGATATT